CTCGGCCTCCCAAAGTGCTGGGATTACAGGCTTGAGCCACCGCGCCCGGCCCTGTTATCCATTTTTTTAGCATCTGTAGGATCAGTAGTGATGTCCCCTCTTCCTCAATTCTGCTATTTGTAATGTGTCTTCTCTTTTTCTGATTAGTCTGGCTAAAGTTCATTAAATTTATTGATCTTCTCACAGAACCAACTTTCTTTTTCTGTTTTCTATTTTAATTTTCTGCTTCTTCATAGTTGTGCTTTTGTCTATTTCCTTCCTTCTGATTGCTTTCATTATAATTTGCTCTTCTTTTTCTGTTTTCTTAATGTGGAAGTTTATATGGGAGATTTAAGATTTTTAAATCACTAACTGCTTTAATTTCCTCAGTAGTGCTTTGGCTGGATCATATGTTTTGACATGTTGTCTGTTTGTTTCCATTCTATTCAAGATGTTTTCTAATTTCCCTTATGACTTTTTGACTACGGGCTATTTAAAAGTGCATTTAATTTCCAATATATGGGGATTATCTAGATATCTTTGTTACTGCTTTCTTCTTTTATTCTGTTGTGGTCACAGAATTTCTACTTTTTAGTAGAAATTTGCTGAGTTTTTATGGCCCAAAATATGGTTCATCTTGGTGAATACACCATGTGCATATAAAAAGAATGTATATTTTGAAGCTGCTGCACAGTGTTCTTTTAAGTGTCAATTAAATCAAGCTGGGTGACAGTGTTGTTCACTTCTTCTACCTCCTTCCAGTAGATTTTCTATCTACTGTTTTTTTTTTGTTTTCTGTTTTTTGACTACAGAGAGAAGGCTGATTACATTACTTAAGGATTTGTCTATTTTTCCTTCAGTTCCATCAGTTTTTGCTTTAAGTATTTTGAATCACTTAACCATTATGTAGTATCCCTCTTTTTTGCCCCAGTAATAGCATAACATTTTATATGTGACTAACAATCTATATCAAAGCAAAACTAGAAGCCCTGGTGAACCCAAGAGTTCAAGGCCAGCCTGGGCAACACAGCAAACCCTATCTCTTTAAATGGAAAACAAACAAACAAACAAACAAAAAACAAAAGCCACAGAGGCTCAGGCCTGTAATCCCAGCACTTTGGGAGGCGGACGTGGGTGTATCGCTTGAGCCCAGGAGTTCAAGACCAGTCTGGGCAACATGGTGAAATCCTATCTCTACAGAAAATTAAAAAAAAAATAAGGGTCGGGTGCAGTGGCTCACACCTGTAAACCCAACACTTTGGGAGGCCGGGGTGGGTGGATCCCTTGAGGTCAGGAGTTTGAGACCAGCCTGGCCAACATGGTGAAACCCCGTCTCTACTAAAAATACAAAAATTAGCAGGGCATGGTGGCGCATCCCTGTAATCCCAGCTACTTGAGAGATTGAGCAGGAGGATCACTTGAACCGGGGAGGCGGAGGTTGCAGTAAGCAAGATCACGCCACTGCCCTTCAGCCTGGGTGACAGAGCAAGACCTGTCTCCAAAAAAAAAAAGTAGTAAATAAAATAAATTAAAATTAAAAATTAAAAAGTAGTTGGGCATGGTGGCATGCACCTGTAGTCCCAGCTATTCAGAAAGCTGCAGTGGAATGACTGTTTGAACCTGGGAGAAAGAGGTTGCCGTGAGCTAAGATTGCACCATAGCATTCCACCCTGGGCAACAGAGTGAGACTCTCAAAAAAACCCCCAAAAAACAACAAAAAAGAAACAAAAGGAGGGGTGCGCCAGGGGAAGGCAGGACTAGAAAAAAGACCCTATGTCAATGACTGCACTTTTTTTCACTCTTTTGAGACAGAGTTTTGCTCTTGTCACCTAGGCTGGAGTGCAACGGTGTAATCTACGCTCACCGCAACCTCCACCTCCCTGGTTCAAGCAATTCTCCTGCCTCAGCCTCCCGAGTAACTGGGATTACAGGCATGCACCACCAAGCCCGGCTAATTTTTGTATATTTAGTAGAGACAGGGTTTCCCCATGTTGGTCAGGCTGGTCTCGAATTCCTGACCTCAGGTAATCTACCCGCCTTAGCCTCCGAAAGTGCTGGGATTACAGGCGTGAGCTGCCGTGCCTGGCTTTTTTTTTTTTTTTTTTTTTGAGAGTCTTGCTCTGTCACCCAGGCTAGAGTGCAGTGATATGAACTCAGCTCACTGCAACCTCCACCTCCCAGTTCAAGCAATTCTCCTGCCTCAGCCTCCTGAGTAGCTGGGATTACAGGCACCTGCCACGACGCTTGGCTAATTTTTTATATTCTTTCACTCTTAAAATATGTGTAACCTCAAATTACCTTCATCCTCCGTTCCCAGTTTGTTCTCTTGAAGACACCATGGCCAGGTGGAGTAAGTTTCTAAGGGGTGGGAGTGGCTTACCGAGTTATGTCACAGAGGTTCTGAAAGATCTTGTCTGGGTTTTGGCCATCAGGGCCACTCACATGCCCCGTTTCCTTTAGCTGCTGTACTTTCTGCAGAGCTATGTTCACTGCATAGCGCATAAACTCACTGCTAGACCTGAGAACAGAAAGGCTTTCTTGGTGGCTTTGGATACTATCCCTAGAGAGAGAGAGAGAGAGAGAGAGAGAACAAGAAAGATTCCCTTACTGCTATTGGTATATGGAATTAAGCTTTCTAGAAATTGTTCAGAACAGCAACACCCAACAGCTTACCAGTAAGCTCCAACTGGCAGACTCTCTAGGCAGCCCAAGCTATAGTCACTGCTATGGCTGCCCTTTTATAATTGTTATTCCTAGTGGTTCCTCATTTTCTCCCCCTCCCCAAATCCTTTACTTTGATAAAATTTAAATGTCAGTCTTAGTCTCTTTTTTTGTTCCTTTGTATTTTTAATTCAGTCACTCCCCACCTATCTGTCTATTTATTTATTTATTTAGAGACAGAGTTTTGTTCTTGTTGCCCAGGCTAGAGTGCAATCGCGTGATCTCAGCTCACTGCAACCTCTGCCTCCTGGGTTCAAGTGATTCTCCTGCCTCAGCCTCCCAAGTAGCTGGGATTACAGGTGCGCACCACCATGCCCGGCTAATTTTGTATTTTTAGTAGAGATGAGGTCTCACCATATTGGTCATGGCTGGTCTTGAACTTCTGACCTCAGGTGATCCACCCACCTCAGTCTACCAAAGTACTGGAATTACAGGAGTGAGACACCAGGCCTGGTGCCCCCTACCTTTTTAAATCTGTTATCTTGCACAAGCCACTTATATAGACTTTCTTAAAACACCCTGTTGGAATTCATCCCTATCTTTTCATTTATTAGCCCACTGTTCCTCATTTATCCTTTAATAATTCAAGGTACCTATTTAAAGTACCTACCTAGGATTGTCCAGCATTCATTTCAAGAAAATTAAAACCTCCTGACTTAATTCTTACTGTAAATAATCCAAACGAGGTGAAACAAGTGAGCCTAGGTAGGCATACGATCCTCGGGGAGTGGTTGTCTTTAAGCACTCTAGCAGAACCTTACCTGAAAAGAACAGTGAGAAGACTGGACACAAATTTCATGGACAAAAGACTATCATTTGTCTTGTTGGCCATTTTAGTTTTGGCTTTACCAGCTTTTTCATTAAGGATGTCAGAGAGCTTTTTGTAACACATAAATAAGCTCAGAATGTCCTCAAATTTGTTCTTACTGTAAAAAACAAAAAAGAGACCGCTAAGGACAAACATCAGAATATTGTGGTTTACTTTTACATATGATAATAAATAAATCACAATGCTTCTTTAAATATCATATTTTAGACAAAACATTATAAATGAATAGAACTTCGTTAATATAATACTCCCAGGTCATAGCAATCTATCTGGGTTTTGTTTCCCCTGGTGTGACCTCGGCTCACCGCAACCTCTGCCTCTCAGGCTCAAGTGATTCCCCTGCCTCAGCGTCCTGAGTAGCTGGGACTACAGGTCCCCACCACTACCACCCGGCTAATTTTTACATTATTAGTAGAGACGGGGTCTTACCATGTTGGCCAGGCTGGTCTTGAACTCCTGATCTCAAATGATCCACCCACCTTGGCCTCCCAAAGTTCTGGGATTACAGGCGTGAGCCACTGTGCCTGGCCTCCCCTCCCTTATTTATACCAGTCCCTGCAGAGCATTAAAGTCCAATACTACCACCAATCAAAATTTCCATTAGGAGTTCTTGAATTCAGGGTCTGGGAAATTCTGAGTAAGTGAAACCCTGCTGGAGGGCTTTCATTTTATAGGCCTGGTAAGCATATAACTTCAGTGTTCTCTAGTGGAAAGAACACAGTTTAGTCTTAGACTAGGTGCTCATTTAGTCTGTTTACTGCCTGGAATATTGCTACAGTAAAAATATATAAATAAAATGGAGAATTCACCAAATTACAAGTGGAGTTATAGCAATACCTTACCTGAAATTACTTATGGAGAAATTGTATTCTATTAAAACCTCACAAACTCCCATCACAAGAAAAGCACAGATATTATTTTTTATGCCAATACTGGTGCTCTGAGAAAAATCTGCTGATTTATCCTAAAAGACACAAGATACAAATTAATAAGCTACTAAAGAACTCCATCATTCAATACAGCTGAAGACTCGCAATTACCAGTTCAAAGTCTTCCAGCTCACTCTTAATCATTCTATTAGTAATGGACTCCAATATATCATCTAGGGCTTGGTAGAATGCCTCTTCCTCCTCCTCTTCCTCCTCTCCCTGCTGTAAGGGTATCACTGTATTCTTATACCAGGCTAAACAATGCTGAATACAACACAGCAGATAATCCTGTAGGAGAAAATAAGTAAATTAAATACTCTTGAGTGTTGATGGATAACCTATAAAGTTGTTCATAACCAGCAAATAATTCTTATCTATAAGGATAAAGAAAATGATTCATTAGTGTTACAAATTAAGTCCATCTAAATTAACGAAACTGGGAAAATAAACTGAATAGCAGCATCCTTTTCTAATGCTGCCCCCCGAAAATTGGCCTAAGTGGCTGACACCTCAAAATGCAACATTAGATGTGCTATCTCTGGTCTGATACAAATAACCCTGGAGCTAGGTGGTGAAGTTAAATCTTCTGTAGTTCATTTGAGTCCCAGAAGCTATTCTAAAGATAGAGGTTTATGTTGAGGGAATCTTTAGGAGACCAACACAGCATCTTAGATCTAGGCTGAGGACATCTCATGTCACAGAAGGCACAAAAATGAAGGTAAGATATGACAACGGAAAGACTTCCTCCTTTCTTCTGCCATGAGTTATAAGTTACGTGGGGTGAGAGTTTCCATTTTTATCCTCTTCGCTGTCCTAAGGCTAGACAAGAACAGAAAGTCAACCAGGCCAGCTCCTTTGAAGGTTCAACAGTGCCAATCCTACTTCAGCCTAAATCATATACATCCTCTAGACTAATGAAGCAGGTCCCCACTCTAAAGCATATTTAGTAAATGTAATCAAAGATTCATAAATGAGATAAAATATTCTCTGGGGGAAGTGATGGAAGCCTTGATTTAGTAAAGGGCTAACACAGAGATAACTTACCAATAGATCCAAAATAATAAGGGTTCAGAAATGGTAAGCAGGGAAGACTTAAAAGTAAACATTCATTGGAAGAACCAGGAAGAGAGTTTCACAGGGAAAGGTATCTCTTTGCGAAGTTCAACCCTATCCTTAATACTAAAAATAATGGTTGAAGGAAGAATAAAAGTCTCACCAGTGGTTCTTGTAGAGAGATCTTATCTCCTTGGGTGAGAATACAAGCTTCTAATTTCAAAGGAGGCAGCAGATCAGGTTTTGGCTCATAGAACTGTTTTAACTGTGTATAGTAAGGAAAAAAAGACATCTTGGCTCAAAATGCTTTTTACTTTTTTAACTTGTCAGGTGAAAGGTATCTTTAATGTCTAATGCCTTCTAAGACACATTTCCCAACTGTTCAAAGAACAATGCAGCCAAATTTTTATTGCTTTGGCTCACGCACATCCTGTGCTCTTGCTTTGGATATAGTACTGATTAGGTTCATCTTTCCTATTCCAATTCCTTCTATTCCTAAACTTGTCCATGCAATCAACATTTTCAGTTAACTTAGAGGTTAAAAATATAGGATCCAGAGTCAGAATGGCTGAGTCCAAGATCCCAGTACCATTACTTATTACTGGTTTTTATAAGGGTATCTGTACCTTGGTTCTTCATCTTAAAAATGAGGATATTATTAATATTCATTGTATAAGGATTAAACATGACAATACATGTAAAGTACTTCAAACAGTATTTGGCATATAAGAGAGCCAAAAAAATATGAGTTACTATTTTTCTTTTAACTTTTGGAGTCTGCAGAATTTTACTGGCCTGCATATTAACTTGAGTCAGAAAGTGCTATTCTATGCCTTCAAACACAATTTTCTATTTTTGTTAAACATGCCAATGTAAATGTGTTGATTACAGTTTGAAAGATACAATATAGCTAACAGAATATAAATTTTATATAGGATCAAGCCCAAGGCCAAATGAAAAGCTTTTGATGGATAGTATGGGACCTTCCAATATTTTCACACATCTGAGACCTTAATTTCAAATGAAACTTCATAACTATCATAAAGCAATGGCATTGAGAGCAAACAAAATGACAGACTAGGGGTCTAGAGGAACCCTCCTGGTAGAGAGTCTCTAATCTTGAAGATTAGAAGAATTTAGTCTTCTAATTTAAAAAATTGTTAACTGAAAAGTGCAGAAAGGAACGTAAAAGACATCCATGTATCTGTTACCCAAATTTAAGAAATAATATTTTGCTATATTTGTTTTGTATTTCTTTTTTCTTTCAGAAATATAACACAATGGATACAGCTGCTGATAGTCCTTATATAAACGGTTCTTCAAAATGTCCTTCTGACTTGGGATACAGACTGTTAATTCACAGGGGTAACTGCTAGATGATGGTATTATGGCAGACAGGTAAGTGGTGACCGAGAAAAGACAAGCCAGAACAGCATCACATACCCATAGCATGTTCACAAAGTACCAACGTACTAGTTGGGAATTATTTTATATTTTGAAAGGTCTAAAAACCATCAATTGTCTCTCAATCCTTGATTATCTGTTTTCCATATATCCATAAAAATATATTTTACCTGTGAGAGCAGAGTTTGCATGATTGAATTAGCCAGCTGAGAGTTCCTTCGAAGAACATCATAAAACCCCTAAGAGGAATCAAAGAGAAGAAACAGGCGCTTTAACAGGGATACTAGTGATTTGGACAATCATAACTTAAAAATAACACTTTCTTTATCCTCTTCTCAGTTCTTTCCTACCGAGACCATATTTGATGGTCCTAAATGACCGTATTTTTTTCCCAACCAAAATTTCCTAGTCTTAGTTAAGAACTGCTCAGATTAAAATCCTGGGGAGGCCAGGTGCAGTAACTCACACCTGTAATCGCAGCATTGTGGGAGGCTGAGACAGGCAGATCACTTGAGGCCAAGAGTTCGAGACCAGCCTGGCCAACACAGCAAAACCCTGTCTCTACTGAAAAATACAAAAATTAGCCAAGCGTGGTGGCACACGCCTATAATCCCAGCTACTCAGGAGGCTGAGGTATGAAGGTTGCAGTGAGCTGAGATCACGCCAGCACTCCAGCCCGGGCAACAGAGCAAGACTCCGCCTCAAAAAAAAAAAAACAAAAAACAAAAAACAAAATAAAAAAACAACAACAATAATCCTGGGGAGAACTTTCTTTCTAGAACCTGGAAAAGAGGTTATACAGTTCATCTGTGAGTAAAAGCAAATGAGAATTGATCAAAAAAATATTTTTTGTTTAAAGAAAAGAAACAGGCCAGACACGGTGGCTCATGCCTGTAATCCCAGCACTTTGGAAGGCCAAGGCAGAGGATCACCTGAGGTCAGGAGGTCAAGACCAGCCTGGTCAACATGGTGAAACCCCATCTCTACTAAAAATACAAAAATCAGCCAGGTGTGGTGATGCACGCCTGTGGTCCCAGCTACTTGGGAGACTGAGGCAGGAGAATCACTTGAACCTGGGAGGGGGAGGTTGCGGTGAGCCGAGACCTGAGATCGCACCACTGCATTCCAGTCTGGGCAACAGAGTGAGACTCCGTCTCAAAAAAAAAAAAAAGAAAAGAAAAGAAAAGAAAAGAAATGAAAGAAAATTAATCCTAACAGGAATTAAAATATTTTATGATTGTGTAATGATAATAAAAAGACACTTTGTCTTGGCACAAAAATCTACAGGCAAAATAAAAAAATGGCATACAGAGATACATAGTACACATAAAGGAGGCAATGATGTCTGAACAAATGGTTAGCTTGGGGGAAAAGCTCCTTATATATATTATCATACAAATTCAGGATGAATTAAGTAGCTAAACGTCAAAAACAAATGCATTAAAAAAAAAAAAAAGAAAATGTTAGTGAATATTCACTGGAAGGATTTGGACTTTCTACAGATAAAATGGGCCAGGCACAGTAGCTCATGCCTTTAATCCTAGTACTTTGGAAGACTGAGGCAGGAGGGCCGCTTGAAGCCAGGGCATTTGAGACCATCCTGGGCAACAAAATGAGACCGTGTCTCTAAAAAAAGTTAAAAAAAAAAAAAAATTAGCTGGGTGCAGTGGCTTGTGCCTATGGTCCCAACCATTTGGGGAGGGGGCTGAGGCAAGAGGATTGTTTGAGCCTAGGAGCTCGAGGCTGCAGTGAGTTAGACTGCACCAGTGCACTCCAGCCTGGATAACAGAGCAAGACTCTGTCTCTTTAAAAAAAAAAAAAAAAAAAGTAAGAGAAGACATCTCAAAGGAAGAAAATCAATAGATTTAGTAACCAAAAATTATTATTTCTGTAAGTCTAAAAGGATATTTAAAAAAAAGCAAATGGCATTCTGGCATATACTTGCAACAAATATGACAAGTTATTTAGTTGTTTATATCACTACATAAGGTATTTTTATATACCAATGATATACTAAGACTGCTGAATAAATGAACAGCAATATTTTAATAGGTTTAAGTCTATGATTCACTTCATGTTAATTTATTTTACTTTAGAGCTAAATAAGGGTGAAGTTTTTTTTTGTTTTTGTTTTTTTCCGTGGGGGCTGCATATCAAGGACTGTACAAGAGTTAACACATGAAGTCTAAGACTGTCTATCCTTAGTGCACCTTTGCCAGCTGGTGGCTGAGAATTTGGCTGGTAAACAGTTACTTACACTGATACAACGCTCACCCTAAATCAGAGTGGCTCACCGTGCCTTAACTGTTTAAACAATGTGGTTATACAGAATATGGGCATACCTAATTTTATTGCAATTTGCTTGATTGCACTTCGCAGATATTACTTTTACAAATTAAAGGTTTGTGGCAACCCTATGTCAAGCAAGTCTATCAGCACCATTTTTCCAAAAGCATGTGCTCACTTCATGTCTGTGTCACATTTTGGTAATTCTCACAATATTTCAAACTTTCTCATTATTATTGTATGTGTTATGGGGATCTATGATAAATGATCTTTGATAGTACTATTGCAATTGGTTTGAGGAGTCACAAATTGTGTCTATATAAGATAGTGAACTTAATTGATAAATGCTGTGTACGTTCTGACCATTCCACTGACTGGGCCATCCCATCTCTCCACCTCTCTTCAGGCCTCCCTATTCCCTGTGACAAAACAATATTGAAATGAGATCAATTAATAACTCCTACAATGGCACATAAGTATTCAAGTGAAAGGAAGAGTCGCACATCTTTCACTTTAAATCAAAAGCTAGAAATGATCAAGTTTAGTAAGAAAGGCATGTCACAAGCTGAGGCAGGTCAAAAGCTAGGCTTCTTGCACCAAAGAGCCAAGTTGTGAATGCAAAGAAAATGTTCTTAATGGAAATTTAAAGTGCTACTCCAGTGAACACATGAATGATTAGAAAGCAAAACAGCCTTATTGCTGATGTGGAGAAAGGTTTAGTGGTCTAGATAAAAGACCAAGCCAACCACAACATTCCCTTAAGTCAAAGCCTAACCCAGAGCAAGGACTAAACTCCTCAATTCTATAAAGCCTGAAAGAGATGAGAAAGCTGCCAAAGAAAAGTTGAAGTGAGCAGAGGTTGGTTTATGAGGTTTAAGGAAAGAAGCCATCTCCATAACATAAAAGTGCAAGGAGCTGGGCACGGTGGCTCACACCTGTAATCCCAGCACTTTGGGAGGCCGAGGCGGGTGGATCACGTGGTCAAGAGATTGAGACCATCCTGGCCAACATGGTGAAACCCAGTATCTACTAAAAATACAAAAATTAGCTGGGCGTGGTGGCATGAGCCTGTAGTCCCAGCTACTTGGGAGGCTGAGGCAGGAGAATCACCTGAACCTGGGAGGTGGAGGTTGCAGTGAGCCGAGATTGCGCCACTGTACTCCAGCCTTGTGACGGAGTAAGACTCAAAAAAAAAAGTGCAAGGTGAAGCAGCAAATGCTGATGGAGCAGGTGAGGCAAATTATCCAGAAGATATAGCTAACATAATTGATGGAGGTAGCTATATTAAACAGATTTTCAAAGTAGATGAACTAGCCTTATATTCCAAGAAGATTTTATCTGAGACTTTCCTAGCTAGGGAGGAGAAGTCAATGCCTGGCTTCAAAGGACAGGCTGTCTTGTTAGGGGTTAATGTAGCTGGTGACTTTAAGTTGAAGTCAATGCTTATTTACTATTCCAAAAATCCTAGGGCCCTTAAGAATTATGCTACATCTACCCTGCCTATGATCTATAAGTGGAAAAACAAAGCCTGCATAATAACACATCTGTTTTATAGCATGGTTTACTGAATATTTTTTTTTTTTTTTTGAGACGGAGTCTGGCTGTGCTCCCAGGCTGGAGTGCAGTGGCGTGATCTCGGCTCACTGCAAGCTCCGCCTCCCGGGTTCATGCCATTCTCCCGCCTCAG